CGATCCATTTACTTAATGGCAAAAAATGTCTGATTTAGGGTTTAGAACAATTGGGGGTAAAATTCTGCTACTTCATGCCCTTTTGCCTTCATTTGGCATTCTCTCCACTGTCTTGGTGTGGTTCATACAAATCAATATGACTCGGATGCAAATCGGTTGACTCAAACGAGTTGGTACCGAGTTGAACTGAGTTGGGCCAAGTTGTACCGATTCAGAATCGATTTAAACAAAAATTATGTTTTTTTTCGTAACGTGTATCAGTAATGTAACGTTGGTGACCGAATCGTATCGGAGTAGGCCGTGCCCTAATGTGAGCACGTCAACTATCCCCCAAGGTTTCAGCCGTCACTCTTGGCTTTTATTAGTCTCTACCTTCACCCATTTTCCTAGTGGTAACTCACTTCTCAACAAGTGCTTGCAACTATACAATGAATACAATAATGAGTAAAAGTCAAACTCATCTAAATCTTCATAATACAAACAAAAGAATACTTGGCACCCATTTTAATGACAAAGCCATTATGGCAAAAATGGTAGCAGAAAGATAAAATAGTTAAAAACCTATAAAACACTTGCCCACATTTCCTGCCCCAAAACCTCTCAATGATAGCAGAAGAGACATCCAAAACTTTCCAACATTGAAGCCCTATATATGACAAAAAAAATTGTTTTCATTATCTGGTTTTGCTCTAAGCATCCAAAAAGTGTCTACCTCTAAGGAGCAGATTAAATATAAAATTCTTGCATCAAGTGCGCCACAAGGCCTCTTCATACGTTTGCACTTGAACAACTGCTTCTTCACATGTATAACGTATATACGAGATACTCGTACATTCATAAAGTTCATACGATAGCAAAAAGATAAGATAGGCTCAAAGGTTCAAATCTTACTATTTGTTATCATAACAATGGGCAGGCAGCATAACATACCAACTTTATGACTTAAAAGAGAAAAAATATAGCTCTTTGTCAATCGGGGACTATTCATAATTGCTCCTGTTCTATGGAATTCCTATAAAAACATTGATTCTAAGTTAATTGATAATGCTTGAACAGTTTATTATGAATTCTTAAAGGTGTAACTCATATAGTTGTCGTTGTCAATGTCAAAGATTTTTGGGAGTCCTGTCCGTGAGAAAGTTGGAAGGAGATTAAATCATTGGAAGAAATCTTTCATTTCTTAGGGGGGGACAATTTAACTGTGATTCAGACGGTTTTGTCTAGTATTCTAATTTATTTTATGTCCCTTTTTAAAATGCCTCATGGGGTGGCTAGGAACATTGAATGTTTAATGAAGGATTTTTTATAGGAAGAGGTGACTTGGCCAAAAGAGATGGGAGAGCTTTTGGTGGAGAATTTGGTGAAAAGAAATATAGCATTGGTTGGGAAATGGTTATGGATGGTCCTTTTGGAACAAGATTCATTGTGGCACACCATTATTAGGAGTAAGTAAGGATTACGGGCTAACTGGTGGGATGTTTATGGGTTGAAAGGGGTTCTTTTCAAAGTCCCTGGAGGTTTATTTGTTTTCCTCATAGGGTCAAGTTTCTTGTGGGGAATGGAAATCAAGTGCGTCATAGGGAAGACATAAGGGGCGGGAGTTCTTTTTCTAGTCTCTTTTTACATTTGTATCTTATCTCCGACAATCATGGTACTTTGGTTGCATCTATGATTCGGTCATATTCTAATCCAATCTCTTGGGATTTTGGATTTCGTAGGAATTTTAATGATAGTGAATGTTCAGAGTTGATGATTCTCTTCTCTATGCTTAATTGTCTAACTTTAGTTTAAAATTCAATGGATAGAAGGCAGTGGATTGGTAATTCATCAAGGATATTCTCTTGTAAATTGTTTTTTGATTTTTTTTTTTTTAATTGGTAATCCCTAACTTCCATTATTCTATCCATCATTGAAGATTGGCGAGGAGAAAGTGACTTTAAAAGTTCAAGTTTGTGCATATACAATTTCTCATGGTAAAATTTGCATAAATGAGGTCCTTCAAAAGAGGGGACCAAACTTTGTCCCCAATTGCAATGTTGTGTTATATGTAGAGGTGATAGTGAGAATATAGATCTATTATTTTTGCATTGTCCATTGGCACGACCATTATGGAATAAGCTTTTTGACTTTATGGGCATTGCATGGGCTGCTCCAAGAACTATAGCATCTATGTTTTGTTTGGAAGATGTAGGATTTGGGGGGAATAGTAAATGAAGAATCATTTTGCATAGTGCTTTCTTTGCTACAATATGGATGATGTGAAAGGAAAGAAATGTGAGGCTTTTTAAGGAGAAATGTGAGGCTTTTTAAGGATAAATGTGAAGATATTCAACATATTCCTCTTTTTTGAATTAGAACAAGTTGGAAGTGGCTAGTAATTTGTTTTGTTTTTGTTTTCTATAGGCTTGGTTTGTGTTGGACTGCTTGTCCACACTGGATGTGAGTCTCTTGTAATATTTCTTTTTTATTAATCAATAGAACATTGTTTCTTATCGAAAAAAAATAAGAGATGAAAGTGCAGACTGGATCTTAAAAGATAAGAAAATGTGGCATGTGGATGGTGTGGAAATTACAATGAAAAACTATATTCAAGCAAATAGCACGTCAGGGGAGACGCATTAATGCTCGAGATTTTACTTCACCCTAAAGTAAACAATGGTTCAGAAGCAAATCTCCAATAGTTTTCCCATGCATACTCATGGAGGTTCAAGATGCACTGCTGCAAGAAAGTTTCTAATACAGGTGGGCTACATTGTGTTCAATTCCTTTTAATACTACTGTGCTTCTTCTCCAAAAATCTTCTTTAAATAGTTTTCTTATTAGAAAAAGTCCCAGTTAATGCTTCATTACCAATCTCAAAACATGTACATCACAAACACCGGTACTAACACCACACCCAACACTCTGACAAAAAGGCCATGGTCAAGCCCTCATTGAAATTAATCTACTTTTCACTTCAGAAATAAAATACACATATACAAAGCAGTACAATGGCATAGTCCTTAACAAAAACATGCAAGACATAAAAAAAAAAATAAAGCAAAACTTTTCAGCATACCTAAGCATCTTGAAACCTCAGTGTTCGATAGCTATAATTATTAAAGGCAATAGTTTTAGTTGTCAACCAAAAAAATTATGGAAGACAACAAAGAGAGCACTCATTTTTTTCAGGAATGTAAATATGAAAATAAATAGATAATGGACAAAATTGATTGCTCTGACGTGCTTCATGCCCCTTGCTAGGAGTAGGTTTTGTTTTAGCTTGCCCCTTTCTATGTTATTAGTAAAGTGCACGGATCAATAACCAGCTAAATAAACACCTATTTTAATAACATTTTCCTACTCAATAGCATTGATAAAGAAATTTAAAGACAAGAACATACCTGGGAGGAGCTTCTCCCAGCTAAGCATATCCTCTAGAATTTCCTCACACTCCTTTGTATCCTTAAGATACCCATGCTCAACTGCCTCCTTGATCATACCATCCCACTTTTTGTCATCCATATTGAAGAACTCATCCTTTATCATTCTCTTCATCACAATATCCCTTGCATTATACAGATCATCAATTTCTTCGTCAGTCTCATGAGCCTCCTCAAAATCCGACTCGAACTCTTTGTCATTAACATCATCCAATGGCTTCATCCGAAGTTCTTCCATCACCTCATCATCTGTCTCTTCATGCTTTCCCGCCAATTTCCTCCTTAAAATTGCTTCAAGGATGGAAGGCAGTGCCTCCTCGTTGCCCTTGAAGTAATCTTCTATCTTCATTTTCAGCTCTGCAACCACAGGAATTACAGATTAAACTGCAAATAGTTAACTCCCACAATCCTAGCATCCGGAAGATTCAGATTGGTTTCAGACAAATTATGCAGAAGATTATTTAGGTTAGTGAAGTTGTGTTGGATTTCACCAGCTTCCTGCTGTGCAGTGTTTGAGATTGATTTTTGGGGTTTTGGAAAGAGTTAAAAAGGTTGATCACCTTGGAAATGTTTATTGATCACAATTTTTGGGTCTTATGGTAAGAAAGATGTGCAAGAATATTTGAAAATCATTGCGAGGAGGTGGGCAGCTCATGGAAAACAAATTTGCTTCTTGACTTCCTTGGGTCGCGTTATCTCCTCAATTTGCAGGATCCATTGTTCTTGATTAGAGCATTATTGGACATTCATTTGTGATATGCGACTTGTATTTCTTATTGCTTTTTTCTGTTCTTTCTTTTCTTTCGCTGGCTGGCTACTCGTCCTAATGCAATGCTTTTCTACTATTAATGGAGGTCTTTTTTTTGTTGACAAAAACAAACTCAAATTTTATGTTTGTCTATAACTAAAAAGATTCAAACCTTAAACTACACACTACCACTGCTGCAATTAAACAACTCGTTTTACCACACACCACATGACCATAAACCCTATTTTCTGGAACTTTCCCAAATTCTCCCAGCATTAAGAACTCAAAATTTGAAAACCAAACTCATTTCACCAAAAATTCCAACTTTCTCCCATTCCCCCCATGGCCGATCATTCCCTTTTTCCTTCCATTTTAACTGCCGGTTGGACTTTGCCTCCCGGCTAAAACTCGATCTTGTGGTAGACTGCCCACCTAAATTCTATTTCCCACAATTTTCTCAGGGAAAAAATAATAATAACTTAAACTCATTTCATAATTATCAGAGAGTTCAGATTTTGTTCTTCATTGTGTACCTTTATTGCTGACGTCTTCAACATCGACAGGAAGTTCTTTGTTCTGGGGCTGGGCCAAGCTCGTTTCAGGACTGGGGTTAGGGTTAGGTTCATTTTCAAAAGATGAGAAAAAACGGATTTTTGGAGAAGCTGAAGAGAGATAAAATGGTATTGCAGTGATACCAATGGGTCTTGGTTTGTATGTTAAAGAAGGAGGAGAGAGAAGATTGCGAGCGTGAGGAGAGAGGTTTCTTAGCAGAGCTCGGTTCATGGCTTTTAAAGGTTTAGTTTCTTCTGCTCGTTCATACCTTGCTTGATTGCCCAATGGGATAGCTGCTGCCTTCACCAATGAGAATTGCAGGGAGTGAGAGATACGATAACAGCAGAGAGAGAGAGAGAGTGAGCGCAAATGTTTTGCTGAGTTTTTAGCAGGGGTGCATGTTGGGTTGGGCAACCGATTTCAAATCGAGCCCAACCCAAAAATTAGAATTTGGGTAAAAATTTTTAATATTTAGATTGAATTTAGATTAAAAAATTTTAACTCGAATTTAATTTGGGTTAGATTCGGGTTAAGGTATCAAATTCACGGGTTCAATCTGAATTCGAACCGATAAATTAAATATATATATGTGTGTGTGTAAAACATTAGCACTGATTTTTCATTTTTGTTCTATCATTCTCAGTCTCTCTTGTTCATTTTCATTTTTGTTCTACTATTAACAATGTTAAAAACTTGGTTTAAGTTATTGGTTATTAATTTAGGTGAATATTATGTAATATATGTATTAGGTTTAGAACAACAAGCCTATTTTGGACTCTACCCGAGCTCAACCCGAATTGAACTCGTAAAATAGCCTAAAATCATTAACCCTAATTCAATTCGAGCCCACCTGAATTAAACTCGGGCAATGCTCGGGTTGAGTTCCTCAATCCGAGACAAGGTTAGGGTTAAGGTTGAAGATTATATACCTAAAGTTGGGTTAAGATTGATTGTCCAACTCGCCTAACCCGCCCAAGTTGCACCCCTAGTTTTTAGGGCGGAGTAGGCGTAGTATCAAAGTACATATGAAATGCAACAAATCTGAGGTTTTAGAAGTGAGTGGGAAAAATGGGGGTTTTTGCTGCATATCGAGTTCAAAGTGTAGAACGTGTGTTTCCATTTTTGCCCTTTTTAAAAAGGATAAATTACTCTCAAACCCCCTGAAAATTTTCACTTAATCATTTAGACCTTTGCGTTGAAATATTACACCTACACCTTCTAAGGTTGACAATTAATTGACTATGGCAACGGAACCAAAGAAAAGACTTAAATGCCCCTATATATTTGTGAAGTTCTTTACAATTACTAAATTGACCCTTTAGCCGAGTATATAATGTTTCTTTCCTTCAACCTACCTACCAACCTTGTTTATCGATCTCACGTCTCTCTCCAAATGAAGAACACCTCAGGCTTATGATGTTCCTTGGTGCTTGAAGTTCTCAATCGGATCAAATATTCCTAGGAGGTAGAAATATTTAAGGTGGTGAAAGGTACACATTATGATTAGGGTTTTCTTCAAAAAATTTACAATTTTTTCCCTTGTCGTTTTCAAGATAAGCAAAATAAGAATGGTTCTAGCTTAGGGTTTTTAGGTTTTTTGAAGCGTCTGCACTGGTTATAGTTTTTTTTATGAGTCTAAATTGACTAGGGTTTTTATGCTTATATTTGTTTGTCCATCATTTATTTGAGAAATCTGTACTTATTAGGTTTTGATTTTTTTGAAAGGTTTCGATTTTTTGAAAACTTTATATTGATTAGGTTTCAATTTTTTGACAACTCTGTATTGATTAGTGTGACGTCCCAATTCTCAAGGGTCCTTAATGTCTGTTAAGCCTCATAAATTATCTTAAGGTCATGGTCCTGGTGGACTAATCCTAACAAAATTCCGATGAAGTCTCTTTTGCACATGAAGCTCCACCCAAAACACAACATAAATCAATAATAATTCCTATTAACCTGCCAAGGTTTTGTATGACCCAAAATACTACAAGGCTATCAATTTTACAATTGAGACCTAACATCTATGCATCCAAGATAAAAGTCCGAGCTCCAGCTCCGTCATCAAAGTGGACCCATGGGAGGCCTATCTGTGGAAACGTGTGTAGTACCTGAAAAATATTCTCACAACAGGATGAACCTAAGCCCAATAGGGTATCTCCTATAGAGAATATCTTTCCAGCCATATATATGATATGATATACATACAACTCAACAATCACATATATGCAACAAGTAACATAAAAAAATGTTACTAAACAAGCCAAGCCACGGGTGATGTTTCATGAATGCATGTTTGACTCCAAAACCACTCCCGAGTTCCCTTGCATACCCATAATGTAATGTCATATCATGAACCAAGCAATTCCAAGCCACCCCGTTAAGCTATACACACTCAATGACCATTTCAATTATTATCTTGTCTTTAGGGGCGAATAATTTATGGTCTTTCACTAACGGGCTACCAAAATAGCACAGTACTTAGCTTTTTATGTGTTGGACTTGGATACAATTTCTTTTTTCTTGCTTTTCCAAGAGATCAATGATGAGCCAAGGAAAACACCCTATCTCTTACACAACCACTACTTTTTTTTTAGGGAAGGCTGAGCTCAGCCTAAACTGAATCCGTCACTCTTGGCAAAGAAGGGGGAAGGATGTCAAGTAGAGTGCTTAAGCCCAGGCCTCAAAAAAGAGGCCAGATGAGGAGAAAGCGGCAATTGTACTCATAGGACTGTAATCTAATATCACGTTAACCGATCTCGAGGGCATCTCACCTCTGACTCCATTTTCGCAGACACTCTTATGGACTCATTACACCACTGAAAAATGTGTGACCAAATATACCAAGTCTTGCATCCAATGGAGAATTTAGTCATTCTTGTTATGCCCCGATATATTTCCATGCAATTCATGAGATTCGATTGGACCTTAGTCCAATCTTTCTAAGCTCATCCATCACTCACCTATGTGGTAAGCAATTTATTTATGCACAACACTCACAACCACGCCAAATGTCTCGTGGATGTGATGTCTAACCGTGCACGTGCAATGTATGTACAATTGCATTTTAATTGAAAACACAATGTTAATTATAACCTTAAAGCATATAAGAGCATCCTAGCATATCACCCAACACATGTTATATACATTAATTAACTCAAATAAGATGCTTGAATACAGGCATTTTATAAAACACATAGGGTGTATAATTATAAACACCTAGCATACCCATCATAATCTACACATAAAACATGTTCAGCAACCTAACTTAAGCAGAAATTAGGCTACATGCTCACTAGTTCCAATTAACTCACTAGCTAAAAGCTAATTGTGTAATTAACATACATTTATTCAAATCATCTCATATGCTAACCCTAGATTGAAAGAGAATCTAAATAGAAGAGAACCCCTATCTCTTGAAGTGCAAGTAAAGAAGAGAAATGATGGTGAATAAATCCCTTGAAAAGCCCTACCAAGTCTCCCACAAGCCCTAGCCAAAACCTTGACCCAAAGATGTTGGAAAATAGTCGATCTTGGTGTTGATAGGTAAGCCTCTTCGTGTAGAGAAACTTTAACTCTTGGTTGATCAAAATTTAACTGTTGGATTGGGTGTTAAGTGTGAAGGAAGAAGGAGAAAAATTGTTGAAAAAGTGGAAGCTCTTCTCTCTCTCTCTCTCTAACGTTTTTTGTCAAGCAAAATGGGGGAGTGGAATACTTGTGTTCCACCTTTTTGGCCCTTTATATACTAGGTGTGTAATGTGTCAAGTGTCGTCTTTCTATTGGTTGGAATCCTAGAGAGCCAATCACACTTTGACATCTGTCAAGTATAGATAATGTTAATTGGATAGCTATTTTAATTATATTGTGGGTCCTACAAATAAAAACCAAGTTGCTAGAATTCTAATCACATATCTCCCGAATGCATATTTTGTCATGTAATACGTGAAAATTTGATTATTTCAAAATTTAATGAAATTCGTATGTCTAACTCGTTTTTGCGAGACGAGCCCAACGATAAAGTCCATTTTGTCATCCCAAATAATAAATTTTTAGATTTTTACTTTACTTAAACGACCTAATCACCATATTACCTATTTAATTGATTTATTATAATTTTTAGGTTTTACAATTCGGTCTTCGTTTGGGTTTTGGGTTTTTGGTTTATCGAAGAGAACATAAAAAAATCATTGTTCTGATCTCTCTCTCTCTCTCTCTCCACGTAGAGATTATTTAGCTCTTGAGTTCTCGTTGACTTTGAGGGTCAGAACCCTCAACAACTTCAAACATTAAAAACCAGTTTTTTTTTAATTGATTAAGAGTTGTTTTTTCATTTTACTGATAAGTAGAAAGAATTGTTTTTTTCGGTATTTGTTTTTCTAATTAGGAATCTATATTGATTAGGGCTTTGTGAGGTACTTATACACTTTGTAATTTTCAAAGATAGGCATTTAAAATGCTTACAACCATAAAAAATGACCAATCCATGGTAGGACATGAGTAGGAGTTAGTGGATACTGAGATGAATATAGATAATAGTGAAAATTGAGGGTGAGTCCCCCTAGATGGACTTATAATGACTTGAGTCCTATAAGGAAACTTATTTGGGGTAAGTCCATGTTTAAACTTATATGTAGATACTAAAGTCCACTTATTTTTTAAATCTCAAAATTACTCCTAATAGTGTTAGTTTTATCCAGTTATGGAAAGTCACATGGGTTAGATCATTGAGGTATATATGAAAAACCTTGATTAAGTTATATAAAGAAACCGTTTATTAAATATTATGATAATTAACATAAGTTTTATATTCTGATAGTTATATATGAGAAGCTTAATGTACGAATAAATTATTGGTCAATTAAGTCAAAATTAGATCACAAAATTCCTTAACAACAGTAATGGGGAGGCTGAACAATGCCAACAAAGTTCAGTAATACGAATGTTAATATATAGTAATATTCATGTTATTATATAATTGAAGTTACAATTAGGGTCGGATTACCAATACAGTCATATTACTATACTGACACTAATGTTACTATAGTAAATTTTAACATACAATTACAAACCTTGAGACGTATATTATGTAATATACATTTTAATATTCACAATAACATCAAAATTTTGTACTCAGTAACACATCTAATTTTACAAAATACAACACAATAGTTTTTTACAGTAACATCAACTTTCGAATGATGTTAGTAAAAATACGATCCACAAATTAAAAATTT